CATTAACAGGCGCCCTTCATCAATCATATAACATAGCTCATTGGTTGAAAGTATACATCTATAGAACGGTACTGCTGTTCAAACTACTTAACTTACCTCCTTACATCATCTCAAGTATCCTTAGCTTACTCCTGATCAAGTACACTGCATGTCTGTTTACTTTGCTCTGTTGAGATGATATGTGGTGTTTTGAGCTGTAATTAAACTTTTCTTTCTGAATAATTCAGTGGGATAAGGTCCTGTTCCCTGTTGTAAACATGACATCCATTGTAGTCTGTCCATCCCGGGAGAGGGATCTCTCCTCTGACGTTCTCCCTAAGGTTTCTTCCCATTTTTCCTATTTTGGTGGCGTTTTTCCTGTGCCGATGTGAGGGTTTCGGGACAGAGAATGTTGCATGTGTACAGACTGTAAAGCTCTCTAAGGAAAATTTGTAATTTGCAATTCTGGGCTAGTTCTTTCAGTCATGACCCATCCTTCATGACCATAGGTGAGGGTAGGAACGAAGATTGACCGGTAGATCGAGAGCTTTGCCTTCCGACTCAGCTCTCTTTTCGTCACGGTGCGTCAAAGCGAGTGCAATACCGCCACCGCTGCTCCAATTCTCCGGCCAAACTCACACTCCATCTTCCCCTCACTCGTGAACAAGACCCCGAGGTACTACTCCTTGACTTGGGGTAAGGACATATTCCCTACCTGGAGTAGGCAATCCATCGGTTTCCTGCTCAGAACCATGGCCTTAGATTTAGAGGTGCTAATCCTCATCCCGACCGCTTCACACTCGACTGCGAAACGCTCCAGTGAGAGTTGGAGGTCACAGACGGAAGATGCCATCAGGACCACATCATCTGCAAAAAGCAGCGATGAGATCCGTAGCCCCCCGAACTGTAGACCCTCCTCCCCCAGACTACGCCTCAATATCCTGTCCATGAAAACCACAAACAAGATTGGTCACAAGGCGCAGCCCTGGCGAAGGCCAACCCCCACCGGAAACGCCTTCGACTTACTGCCGAGCACCCAAACACAGATGTTGCTTTGGGCGTACAAGGATTGGATGGCCCCAAGCAAGGACCCCCTCACCCCGTACTCCCGCAGCACCTCCCACAGTTTCTTTCGGGGGACCCGGTCATACGCCTTCTCCAAGTCCACAAAACACATGTAGACTGGATGAGCATACTCCCAAGCCCCCTCTATGATCCTGGAAAGAGTGAAGAGCTGGTCCGTTGTTCCACGACCAGGACGAAAACCGCATTGTTCCTCTTCAATCCTTGGTTCGACTATCAGGCAAACCCTCCTTTCCAGCACCTTAGAGTAGACTTTACCCGGGAGGCTGAGTAGTGTAATATCCCTGTAATTGGCACACACTCTCTGGTCCCCCTTTTTGAAGGGGGGTACCACCACCCCGGTCTGCCACTCTTTTGGCACTGTCCCAGACAAGACGCAATGTTGAAAAGGGCGTGTCATTCAAGACAACCCCCAACACTCATTGCTTTTAGCATCTCTGGACGGATCTCATCAATCCCCGGGGCTTTGCCACTGCGGAGTTGTTTGACTACCTCAGTGACCTTCACCGGGCCAATTGACGATGATCCCTCCTCCGCCTCCAGCTATAGTATATATAGCCATAGTTACCCCGAACTCCTCCCATACTCGCTGCTTTGCCTCCATCACGGCAGAGGCTGCTGCCCTTCGAGCCTGTCGGTACACTGCAACTGCCTCCGGAGTCCCACCGGATATCATAACCCGGAAGGCCTCCTTCTTCAGTCGGCCGGCTTCCCTGACCACCGGTGTCCACCACGGGGTTCGAGGGTTACCGCCCCTTGATGCACCTAAGACCTTGAGGCCACAACTCACTGCCGCAGCTTCAGCAATAGAGGTTTTGAACATACACCACTCTGGTTCAATGTCCCCTACCTCCACAGGATGTGAGATGTGAGAGAAGCTTCGCCGGAGGTGTGAGTTGAAAATCTTTTGGATCGGGGCCTCCTCCAGACGTTCCCAGTTCACCCTCACTACGCGCTTGGGTTTACCGGGTCTGTCCCAAGTCTTCCCCCATCCTCTGACCCATCTCAAAACCAGATGGTGATCAGTTGACAGCTCTGCCCCTCTCTTTACCCGAGTGTCCAGAACATACGGCCTCAGATCAGACAATACGATTACAAAATCGATCATTGATCTTTGACCTAGGGTGCTCTGGTACCACGTACACTTATGAACATCCTTATGCTCGAACATGGTGTTTGTTATGGACAATCCGTGACTCGCACAGAAGTCCAGTAACAAACACCCGCTCGGGTTCAGATCAGGGAGGCCATTCCTCCCAATCACGCCCCTCCAGTTATCTCCATCGGCGCCCACGTGCGCATTGAAGTCTCCCAGTAGAACTATGGAGTCCCCTACTGGAGCCCCATGCAGGACTCCATTCAGGGTCTCCAAAAAGGCTGAATACTCTGAGCTGCTGTTTGGTGGATATACACAGACAACAGTCAGAGTTTTCCCCCCCACCACCCGAAGGCGTAGGGAGGCGACCCTTTTGTCCACCGGGGTAAACTCTGATGTAGCATCACACAGCCGGGGACTTATGAGTATCCCCACACCCGCCTGGCGCCTCACACCGTGGGCCACTCCGGAGTAGAATAGAGTCCACCCCCTATCCAGGAGTGTGGTTCCAGAGCCGAGGCTGTGCGTAGAGGTAAGCCCCACCAGATCCAACTGATAACGCTCCACCTCCCGCACAAGCTCCGGCTCCTTCCCCCCAGAGAGGTTACGTTCCACATCCCCAGGGCCAGCATCTGCCACCCAGGTCTGTTCCGTCTAGACCCCCCTAGAATTGAAATTGAATTCCCTATTTTTCTCACTGCAGCCAGTCAAATGCAAATATGTGCTAAATATGTGTATTAGTGTAAAAGTGTTGTATGCAACAAGTTACACTGTTCGGCCACTAAGCAGAGAATGTTAGCGAGAGTATATTACTCACTTTTACACGAGCTGTGATCAGTCCCCTTTTAATTACCAGCTTCACTGATTACCTTGCAGCTGTTGCCCACCACAGAGACAGCTGTCCCACCTTTGCTTCACTGAGGCTAAATTTCATCACATTATAATTATAAAAGCAAAAACGGTTGCTTTTCACAACCTGATGAATAATCAAAGCCAATGCGTCCTTTGGGCACTTTGGATCGTTGCACAACAGTTTCGGCCAAATAAAATCCATATGGATATCACTAGTTGCGCTAATTTGACCCTAACAAGGCTGAGAGTCTGCAGCCATGTGTATAGTGTAAAGTGCTTTTAGCCAAATGCTCACGCTAGCATAGTATTAGTTGCATAATGTTTACACGCCAATGTTTAACTATTGTAATGTTTACCATGTTCACCAAACTTAGCTTAGCATCTTAACAGGCTAGTAAACGAGCTTAATGAGGAATACTATGTTTATCTATTGTCTCCAAATGGCTCTCAACATGGCGATTAATGACCCAATGGCTCATTGGTAACAGCCATAACAGCGTTGTGCGGAGCGATGTCCATGAGAGAACCAGCTGGGTACGCTCACATGCACTGAATGGCACGCTTGGTAACACACACAGCAAAAGAGAAACCTCAATTCCCTGCTTAGGTAGACATGACATGATGTTATAAATAGCCATTTGCTGTTATATTAATGCTGTGAATATTGTAAATAGAAACTTTAATTAGTGCCATCAGTTTGCAGCATTAGGGTCATAAACAAAGAAAAATTAAGGAATCATTCAACTATTATAATTTCCTCCTGCAAGGTGCCTGAATGAGCCAAATGTCACAGCAATGCATCCAACTGTTGTTGAGACATTACGATATGCAAAACTTGAATATCTGGAAGAAACCATGTGCTAATCCATCCAGACATTTTGTAGGGTAATGTTTTAGCTGTTGGTGGTGCTGGAGGGAAAGTGAGAAGATCCCCAAAATGTGTAGGATTCTTCCTCTGGGAACCATTGAACGTCAACCAAGTTCCATGGCAGTTTAAGATGCAATAGTTCTGAAGATACTTTAGACCAAGTGTGAATGAACTGGCTATAACTGGAGGATCATCATCCTCTGCACAAAATGAAATCCCTCTCAAAGTGTCCTTTGCTCAGAACAAAGCTATCTAATTCCACGAGGGCGCCTCTGGCCCCAAAAGCTGCTCCCAAAGAGACGGTCCTCAGAGGAGCCATGACCAGGACCGAGGGACAGGAATCCTGGGCAGAATTGGCGCTGGGCGTACTGCCCGAGCCTCTATGGCCACCCACTGGTGTATTGCCATTTCAGTTAGAGGACTGTGGGAAGAGGGGGGATTTGAGGAGGGACGCATGGGGAGAGAATAGAGAGCGAGAGAGGATGGAGAGAGGAAAAGAGGCTTGATGGAGAACAGCATAGCTCTGTTATGCACACGCGAGCACACACACACACACACACACGCACACTCACACACTGTACACACACACACACACACACACACATACCTAGTAATTAAAGGGCAAGCATGGTGTTGCTGACAGTTTAGAGCATGATGACACCAGACCACAACACCAGCTAACACACACTGAATACACACACACACATTAACCATGGAGGGGAAAGTTGACGTGTCTGTGTGTGCACACCCTTACACACAATGACAGCCATCGACACACAAACACACACACACACACACACACACACACACACACACACACACACACACACACACACACACATGGGAGTGTCAAATATCGTTTTTGCCTCTGACTGAGTCCAGTGTCTTTAGGCCATAATATACCAGCAGAAATGGGTGTAGATGAGGCTTTAAAAATCATCCCCGGACCCTTTTTGTTTGGCTTTCTGCAGCACCAGTTGGCTCCTTCCCCCCATCCACCTCGTCCACCCATCTTACACGCATCAGTGGAACCGCGTCTGCATGCATCGGCTTACACCGGCATCACCACCGGGCTCGGATCGGCTGCCCGAGGCAGGGGGGAGGCTTGGGGGAGTTGCCTACCTGGATTGCCGCAGTCCGCGCACGTCTCGTTGCCCGGTCTCGCCAGCACGTCTCTCAGGAGCCGGTTGCTCCCCTCCGGTTCCAGCGACATGGTCAGCGCTTATCCGTCCAGCCTCGCTGCAGCGGGAAGAAGCCGGAGCAAGAACATCCGCTGCTGGAGACAGACAGACAGGCTGACTGACTGACTTGCTCACCTGTCACCTCACAGTTAAGCAGAGGGAAGAGGGGACGAGACTGGAGGATCCGATCCGTTGCTCTCTCTATCTCTGTGTCTCTCTCTGAATAATAATCAAACACGTTCCCGTCACCCCCTCCCTCCCTCCTTTCTCCCCCCCCCCCCACCTGCCCATCTCGTATTCCTTCCTCTCCACCCATCATATCGTATGAAAGTGAGACATCCTGCGGTAGACAATAAGAACACATTTAATTGCGCATCCCGCACCCATGAAAATGTCTTTGAAAAAGCCATCTCTAACAATACGGACTTTTAATTATTTTAAATTTAAAACATGTTGTAGTGCAATTTATTATTGCATAGGCATATTTCTCGAGACAGTACGTATCATGGTGCGTGTGAGTATGTTCCTTGATAAAATATTTGAATCATTGCGCCATGTTGTGTCGTATAGTGCATTGTTAGCAAGCTTTCTCTCGATTTACGCAGGGTTATTGATTATTTTTCTGTTCTTCTGTTCTCTCTTATAAGAATTTGTGTTACATTTTCACCTTAATATAGATAACAAATGCCCCAAAACAATTCGTTTATAAATAACAAAAGAAACCAACGTTTAGTTGAGTTCATAGTTATTTTTTGTTGAGATTGTTTCCCTATGAATGCATTGGAATTTATTCAAAAACCCATGGTCGATGCGACTCAATCGACTGCTGATGTCTGTTTACTGAAACGCATCCTTACGTCATATTTACGCGACAGCAGGGTCACGTAACTGTGTTGCCGCGGACCTTGTAGCTGGGATACATTCAGGAAGACTCTAGGCCCTTCTAAAATCGTATAAAAAGAAACATACACAACAAAACATGTCCACCGCCATGAATTTTGGGTCGAAAAGTTTTAAACCTCGGGCTCCCGATAAAGGCGCGTTCCCTCTGGATCATTTTGGTAAGCTAGGACACCGACTGTCGCTCATTAATGCGTATTAGCTCGCTGTTCTTTGCGTTTTAGTCTGACTAAGCTATCTTGCTCATAGCTTGCTTTCGTGTCAAGAAATAATACCAAACGTCACGATCCGTGTCTGTGCCTTATTCCAGGCGAGTGTAAGGCCTTTAAGGAGACGTTCATGAAATGCTTGAGGGACAACAACTTTGACAACTCCCAGTGCCGCCTGCAGTCCAAAGACTACCTGGAATGCCGCATGGAGAAGTGAGAAGCGTCACCCGCCTCCTGGTGACTCGGGGCTAGTTCATCACGCTAATGTCCTTTCTGCTTTGTGATGTTGCAGTCAGCTGATGGCCCAGGAGCCTCTGACCAAACTGGGGTTCAAAGACCTGATGGAGCCTCCTCCCAGCCAAGCAGACGGAGACGCTGAACCCTGACCTGCTGCTCCACCACCCACCGGGGTCGAAAGCAGAGAGGAAGCCCACCATGCAATGGCCGTTGTTGACGAGATGGCCACCAAAGTGGTGTAAAAGCAGATTAAGGCCAAAGACTTCTGTGAGTGGAGCTGAGACGATGGGGGACTGAAGATGTGGGCTTTTAAGAGCACAAAGTGCCCAAAGGACGCATTGGCTTTGCTCTTTGTGTGTTACAGACAACCGATTAATTGTATCGGTCCTTTTGCGTGTGTTTGTATATAAGATATATATATGGAGATGCTGTTTTGGAATGTCATTAAATATTTTGTATTTGAGATAAAGTAGGTGTGTAGATGGACTCTTATCATTTGATACGATCAAAATAGTGGCACCGGCTGGCAGATTTGTTTCATGATGATTCCCTGCTAACAAGCAGGGATACAAGTGGGTTATTTTATGACTCTGCTATAGATATACGTGGAATTCCAAATCCAATAACAATGCCATGTTTTCATCATTTTTAGAATTTGGGATTTTGATCTTGAAAGTATCCAATAAAGTGTAATGCAGAGTGAGCATCTAACGGTCAATAACTCAGGAACCACACCACTAATTTACATCTCTTTTGTAACACGATACAAACTAAAGATTTTCTAACTGCCATTTTACAATCAAACAGAAATGTAAGCATAATACAATAAAACCTAAACAGAGTACAACTTTAAAAGTAATTTTAAAGGAAGTAGTGCTGTCCAAAGTACCTAAAGTATTTCTCACTAGGATATAGTTTTAGTTGCATAAAATGCTGTGATATTCAAGCATTTAAATGACGGGCTTCTCAGTGTGTCAAAAGCCTGCTCACTTTTATTTGTGTCGTGTAAATCCTACAAAATATCCCAAACAACCATGTGCCAGTCTGTCTTTTAATTTATTTATTTATTGATTCTTTAAAAAAAAAAAAATCACAAATCAATTTCCAGGTATATCTGCACTGCAGATTTGAGGTAAAGCAGATTGTGGTTTGGTCGGGAACTATTCGATCTGCAGTATTCAGAGCAACGTGTGGACGCTGTAATGTCGGAACTCACTTACGGGTCTGTTGACGTTTTGGGAAACACTGGAAATGCTTATTAGTAGCATATCCCTTTGAGTTTTTTAGGATTTGAAAATGTCCCTGTAGAGCTGCTCAGATTTTAGATCCACACAGTGGAGATTTCTTTTCGCAGTAATAAACCTGCAGGAGCTGCAAAGAAAATCAATCAATATTTTTTTCAAAATAATTTCTCCTGGTATTTCAGTGCCAGTAGCTTCACTAGCAGTACAGCTGCAATGTGTTTGTATTATTTTGCCTTGAAAATTTACAATTTTGAAAGGAAAAAAGATTAAGATATTGACATTTTGTTCGTGGGTTTCCTAGAAGGGCGCCCTTGTCTACGAATGGGACTTATTTCATCAGAATTGTGATAAAAAGTGATGGCAGTTCATCCAAAGCCTGATCCCGCCCCCAGAGGTTGATTGAAGAGCTGATGTCATAAAATAAACATTTAAGAAAACCACTTCCTCTCTTTCATGCGAAGAGGTAAAGGGGCTTAATCCCTTACCCCTTATCCAACAGTCCTCTGCTGAAGTTTCCCTGCAATGCAAAACATGCTCATACTCATCCCTACAAATAGTTAAAGTTTAAGATATTGTATTGAATGATGTGGTGTAAAAAAGGTGTAATGTATTCAGGTCACTGATAGTCCAAAACATGAACTTTATTGTCACTCCATAAGCCAGCTATACAAAACAAGATGTGTGGGAAAAACAGACAAAGTCAAACTAAAAAACCTCAAACATCTAAATCAGAAGGTCTGTGGAAAAAGAACCTAAATCCTGATGTGCCAGTGATGACGCAATAACCCCCCAAATCTACTAAAGATATATGACTATCAGCTATTTCAGGTTTCTATTGGAGCAGACACATGGCGCCAACTGTTAGCTGCGCTTGAAATGGACCATAACCAGTAATGCTGCTGGAAAGTAATTTGAGAAAAGTTAGAGGGGGACGGTTTTTAAAAACACAAGTACTGATTTCAAATTAAAATATGACCAATAGCACCTTTTCAAATCAGCAATTTAGTTATCGTATTCTATTGCACTAGACAACGGTTAACTTTTACGGTTTCAGAAATGACTGACTGCCACATTGTACTGCAGGATTTTTCAAAGACTAGTTCAGCGATGAGGACATAGACGGCAGCACAGTAGAAGTTTGGCTCCATGAGGTTGACACGTGATGGATTTTGGTGTCCATGCCCTCATCATGAAATGGTTCACGATTGACCATTTTCGGTCACACTGAGGACACATCACAGATCCAGAGGGGAGGAAGGGGGTTCCTTTTCACTAGCGGGAGGAGTTGGAGCTGGAGCGGGAGCGGTGCCGGCGGCGGCCGGGCGAACGGGACCTGCGACGAACCGGAGAGCGTCGCCGTGGAGACCGAGATCTAGGAGAGAGAGACAGAATGATTGCAAAGAACATGACATATACAAGTACATATACGGTGAATGTCTTGGCAAACAACAGTTAGCACAGAGGCCGTGTTACAACGCACAGCGTCATTTACAGTGCACGCTGCTTACCTCCTCCTCATACGAGGTGGAGTCCGTCGCCACATTGGCGGTGGAGGGGGCATCCTGCGGGGAGGCGACATCCTGCGTGGGGGAGGGCGCACTGTGGGAGTCAGCACAGCTGTGACCGTGATCTCCTGACCGTCGATCTGACCTGAAACAGAAAACATCCAAGAAATGAAGAACAGAAAAGAGTTTTGAAATAATTAAAAACCAGGCAGATTATTTTGAGACAAAGGGCCCGAAACAAACCTCTCAGCCCCTCATCACGTCTACACAGCGTTACAATCATTCATCCATGGTACCAATCATCGCTCCGCCAGAATGCTCTGTTCCTCCCCACTCTCCTACCTCCGTCCATGTGTTTCACAGCCTTCTCCGCCTCCCCGTGGGTCTCAAACTCCACGTAGGCGTAGCCTTTGGACAGGTGAGGGTAGACGCGGTTCACTGGCATGTCAATCATCTTGATCTTGCCGTAAGTGGAGAAAATCTCCTGGATGTGTTCCTACAAAACAGACACATTTGTATGAAGAGGGGCCTCATTCTGAGGCCTGGTACATTTCAGCCCCCATGGATGGAGCCAAGCTGATGGAGCCTGTAGACTTCCAATCATGGATTTCTTCTATTGCTCTTCTCTTCACTGCGTCACAAATTGTTTCCTGGTGGCTCTACGTAACTCTTAATTCTCACTTAGTTAATGAGGACGGAAGCAAATTATTGTTATATTAGCTTCATTTCCTTAATTATGTGTGAGTAGGATCACACTTTCCTGATCCTAGATATCTATTTGGTGCTTGTTGCCTTTCATACAAGCTAAAAAGTACCCTTAAGGGAAAAGGCCTGTATGGATAATGGAGACTTAAAATTTCACCTTGATAACATTTCTGGTCAGACGGCCCAGGTAGACCTTGGTGGGTTTGGGTGTGGGGCTCCGGCGCCGTCGCTCCCTGTCATCCTTCTTAGCTGACTTGGACCTTTGGAAGGACATTTATATATTTCAGTTTCTGTAGTCCTCAATGAAATGCTCCCATCCTGAACATTATTATCCGTCCCAGACTACAGTGAGAGAGAATAATTAAAAGTACAACATTCTCTACTGAATCAAAATGACTTATTCCCTACTTTGAGCGGGAGCGTCGTCTGTTGTTGTGGCGCTGGCGGCTGGGGCTCGGTGAGGATGACGAGGAGGAGGAAGAGGAGCGGGAGCTGGATGAGCCCGAGTGGCTGGAGGCTGAGGAACTGGAGCCACTGGAGGAGCTGGAGCCCGAGCTGCTGCTGGAGCTAATCAAGAGCAGAGTTTAGGGTACGAAGGTTTGTCCGTTGAGCTTTCACTGTCCGGAAGTAAATAGGAACGATAAACACTCGCTTGACCTTGAGTTAAAGTCAATTCGCTTTCATCCAGTGAAACATTCTTACAAGTAAAACATGGGACACAGATCTTCAATCTCGGCTGGTGTTATTTTGTGAAAAACAGCCTCTGACCTGCTGCTCCCGCTGGAAGCATTGCGTCTCGTGCGGTTCTTGTCTCGGCCGCGGCCCTTGTCAGCGCCTTCCTTCGGGGCCCCCGACTTCTCCTTGCCTCGCGGCTTACTCTTGTCGTCCTCCTTCCTCTTCGTTGGGGATGGCGCCCTGTCGAAGGAGAAGAAAACATCAGAGACAACTTCTGACATCTTGACAACTGTTGAATCTGATGTGTTCAAATAAAAAAATGATAACTTTCAAACTGACTGTTGATTAGGAGGTAACGTTACAGGATATTATCTTGGACTTCAAGCTACTCGACTTTGAATCATTAGGATATTACATTTCAGAGTGTTTACTTTAATGACCACTCTTATAGTTTGTGTTTTAGCTATAAAAAGACAAAAAGACACGTCAGGAGACGTTACAGATATACTGGTTCTAATGTCCATTGCAGATTTAACAACAAATCAAAAATATATTTGCATCAAGATAACAAGATGTGAAAGCTCAGTTGACTCGTACTCATGAATAAATCCTAAAGGAAGATTATACGTAAATGCATCGCTTTGTACAGAACGTACACTAGGGGAATAGCCAATTGTGATTTCATGAATGTTTTTGAGGATACTCTAAAGAAGAGATTGAAGTTGATTACAGTAATTTCACTTGGCGCGGAGAAAACACGTTACGTTTTATCGGTGATTAAAGGTATAACGTTAAGCTCGCACGTTAACACTTGCCCATGTTAGCGTTAGCTTACGGGAGTGAGCTAATGTTGGCTCCATACACAGCGCTGCTATTTAAACAAAAATGTTAAGATACAAACACGTTTTACGTAATACAACCCTGTAGATATAGCGACGCAATCTAATGGCCCGGCATACAATATTTAAAAGGAAGCAACGGGAAATGGTTGCGTTTACTCACATATTTTAGCCTGCCTGTCACTCGCGACACCAATAGTCGCATAGAGATGACGTAATAGGCTAACGTCGACATAAACCAATCAAATGACTGGACATTGAGAGGCAGATACCAATACTTGCGAGGAGCCCTACAAATTATCCCTCAACAATGGCTGACAGGGTAATATTTCTCTTTTTGACGAATGGTGTGTAGGCTTTGTTGCCACTATTCAATACGTAAAAGCCAACTTAAACGTGGTAACACTGCTGGAAAGTTACTGTTTGCACTGTTTCATTGGGTAGGTGTGTGCTTCGCTGGCGGGTGACAGTTCGCCTGAGAGATCATACGCGGTGTAGAAATACCTAAACGTAACCGGCTTATACAAGAGAAGGTGAGTTCCCCCTTCCTCAATGTGTCCAACCGCACTGCAGCAGTTACTTTATAACCGAGGCGGCTCTAACATGCCCCCATCATGAACCCTGAACGTTATCTATTACACAATCTATTTGAAGCAATTCAGAGGTCATTTTAGTGCTTAAACGCCGCAGGGACAAGGAAGAAAGGGCACGCGCGTTAGCTTCTCTTTCGAAACAGCAAGTCTCAAGATCAGATGAACTCCTCCGGAGAACCTGATGAAAAGCGCAAACCCCGCGGCTGGACCGGGACCCTCGCTTTGACCGTATGTTCCGCCGCCATCGGAGGCACCTTCCAGTATGGTTACAACATCTCAATTATCAACGCCCCCACCACCTACATCCAGAGCTTCATCAACGACACCTACACGCAGCGCTGGGGGGTCAGCCTGGACGGGCCCCAGGTGACCCTGTTGTGGACCCTCATCGTGTCGGCCTTCTCGCTGGGCGGTTTGCTCGGGGCCCTGCTGGCGGGTCCCCTGTCAGTCCGCTTCGGCCGGAAGTACTCGCTGCTTCTGAACAATTCCTTTCTGTTGGTCGGTGCCGCGCTCGTGCTGGCCTCCCGGGCGGCGGGCTCGTTTGAGATGATCCTCGCTGCCCGTCTTCTGGTGGGGGTGAACTCGGGCGTCAGTATGAACGTCCAGCCGATGTACTTTGGGGAGAGCGCCCCGAAACACCTCCGCGGTGCTGTGGCCTTTTCCTCCGCTGTGTTCACTGCCCTCGGGATCTTCCTGGGTCAGGTGGTGGGACTCACCGGGCTTCTGGGTTCCGAGCCTCTCTGGCCCTACCTGCTGGCCAGTAACGCCTTGCCAGGGTTGATCCAGCTCTTCGCCCTGCCCTGGTTCCCCGAAAGCCCCAGGTACCTTCTCATCGACCGGGGAGACCGGGAAGCGTGCGTCCTGGCTCTTGGCAGGCTTCGCGGTGGGGAGGCCCCCGCCTTGGAGATGGAGGAGATGCTGCAGGAGCAGGAGTTGCAGAAATCTGCTGCCTTAAAGTCTGGAAATGCAGCTTCTGCCAAGACGCCCTGGTCTCTGTTCAAGGATCCTGCCCTGCGATCCCAAATCCGAACTGTCACGGCTGCCAGCAGTGCCATGATGCTCTGCGGCAATGACTCCATCTACTTCTACGCCTCCTACATCTTCCTCGCAGCAGGGATCCCACCAGAGAAAATCCAATACATCACAATAGGCACGGGGGCGTCCGAGCTGACTGCTTCCATCCTCAGTAATCTGCTGATTGAACGCGTGGGCCGCAAGTACCTTCTCGTGGGAGGGTACGGCCTCATGTCTTTCTGGTCCGTAGTTTTCACCGTGGCGCTCATCCTCCAAAGCAGCGGCGTGGCCGCCATGGCCTACGTCAGCATGGGGTGTGTGTTCGGCTACATCCTCAGCTTCGGTTTGGGCCCCGCGGGGGTGACCGGGATCTTGCCGGCGGAGATCTTCGACCAGACGGCCCGGCCGGCGGCGTACATGTTGGCCGGCTCGTGCATGTGGATCGGCCTGTTCCTGGTGGGGATGCTCTTCCCCTTTATTGTCAACTCCCTGGGGAGCTACTGCTTCCTGCCGTTCTTGGCCGTGTGCCTGGTGTCGGCCGTGTTTTTTGGGCTCACCTTACCGGAGACGAAGGGAAAGACGCTGGCCGAGATCACCGCAGAGTTCGACGTGATGAATGGCTTGAGAAGGCCGACAATGGAGGAGAGGCCGGAGATGCAGTTGAAAGAGCCAGTTCGGGAGCACTACCAGCTGGGTAAAGCCAGCTCCTTCACTCAGCTGACGCAGGAGCTTGACCCTCATCAGAAGGATCGGGACTGAAGTTAAAGTTTAAAAAAGTGCCTTTGTCACCTCGTAATGCACTTTTAAGTGTGACAAAGGAATCCATATGTGAAATGTCCGGTTTACGTAAATTGAAAAATTGAATCTTGTTTTTGTTTTATATTAAGTTAAAACAATGCAAGTATTCTGTTCATGCATAACATGCTTACATGCACATGCATGACCCTCTGATAATAATTATCGACAGCGTGTGCCACATCCTGACAGTCTATTGACGCTCGCTAAAGCAGGACAATCTGTCCTCTCCATGAAGGCTCCTTCGTGGCATAGCAGCTGAACACCTCTCTCTCTGCAGAGAGCAGCTTGAGAACTACTTGTCCACCCAATCTCCAGGGGGAGTCGGGAGGTCCGTATATGGCTGCATAAGTCAAAAAGAGATGAATTGAAGAGAAACCTTCCCCGATCTTAACCAAAACCATCCCTTATTTTTATTCTCCCTCTCACACACGACTTTATGCTGGAGTCTTTCTCGACGTTTTGAAGTCTGGCACTATTTAAGAATTCTCAAAGACTTGGTCCGAGCACCACGCCAGTATAAAGCGGTCAACCGGCAGCGGTTTGGACAATAAGGCAGAGCCGGCCAGGATTTAAATGGTGTATATTTAACGTTGACCCAGTCCTAATTCAGTCTGCACCGGCTAGATAGCGGTGCTTGTTTACTGTGTAATCTGATGATACACTGGTTTTGTGGACACCTCTGCCCGGCCCATTGGTTCAGGCTTGTTCCATTTGTATCGTTCCACTCGGTTAATTTCACAGAACTACAAGCCTCTTTAATTCATGCTTTTGTTGTTATTTATGCATCAACCAAACTGTAGACGTTCTTAGTGCCTCTTACAGCATGGTCCAATTGTTCCAACCCGTGGAACTGTTTGCCTTGTCCTCCTGCTCCTGGGTGCAGCTCTTCCTTACAGCCAGCAGTTGTCACCATTGTCATTGCACCGCACTCGTTCTCCCCTCGGGGCCCCAACAGGAAGATGTATGATATCGAACACGACTCACAGATGTAACACCCAGGCCAAGATGACACTTTTTGATTTAGCAGCTGTCAGCTCTCGTGGGCCTTCTGTTGATCTGTCACGGCCTCGACATGTTCCCTTTTTTTTCTTTTTTGTTGTTGACTGAATCAAGATGCTGCACATATTTATTATTTAACATTGAAGGTGCTTTTTTTATGACAATGAATGATCCAAATCTTCTGTCTCACTTCTAGTGAACTCTCCCTTTCTTGTTGAATGTCAGGAATTAACCCACGCACTGCTGTAGCACGCTGGCATCTTTGCACTACCCAAATTATTGCTGTTGTATGTTGGTCCAAAGCATGTGATGACAATTCTCCAATAATAAGGATTCTGTAAAATAACATCCTGTGTTTCACTTGAACTTCATTTTTGTGAGATACTATATTTTGCAAATTGCAACTATGTATTCAATGGTATTTATTCAATGAAAATCAAATTACTAACCATTGTCTCCTTTGTGATTCATTCAGTTTGACTAATTCAACGGCCCTCTCCACATTTATTCACATTACCGTAGCTCCTTTGCACTTCAATCCAACTGCTCCTTCTCCTATTAAAACTGTTCATATAATGCAGTTTATTTATAGTACATGTCACTCTTAAGTGGGGCCACGGGACAAGTTTGCCGTTTCACTGAACTGTATTGCACCATTTCAGCATAACTAAGTAATGTGTCCATGTCTTCCCAGTTTGAAATGAGACGAGAGAAAAATTTGATTAATATCAAAGTGCATGCCCGGAAAAGTGCAGGTTGTGTGTGTGTTGGATAGAATACTATCAGTGTTTCTGTTACAATCACACCAGGTAACATTTGCATATTTATTCCCTCGCTGGCCTTCAATTTAGCCGCTTGAAAGAGATTCTCTGAGAAAAAACTAAACATCAATACCTACTGAAGATAGAGAGGCAACCATATGTGAGATTTCGTCTCTCTCTCTTTATATATATAAGCAGTAAGGCGACAGACTAACAATGTCATTGTTACTTTGTGCTTATTGGATGAAACCCAGCTGATCTAAACAGCTGATATCAGGAAAGCCTCGAGCAATGATAGTGAGGAAATAATGGGGGAGCATGCATGAAGAGTTAAAGGCCGATGTATCAGAAATAATTTACGGGTTTAGGGATGCATGAGAAAATATCCTAGAGCTTCATTTATATTTTCAACACGGGCTACTAATCCCAGGCCACGTCTGTGGTCATCACCACAGATGACGGCTTTAGAATGAGTCCTCAGGACTTTTAGGGGTTCACTTACAGTAAAAACAGGGATTTACCTTTCCAACTGAGGGGGGCACTGTGACATTTATTACCAACACTCCCACTCGCCAAGCAAGGGAAAACTGGGCCAAAGTGGTAGGTCTCACAGTTGGGTACTGTTTGGCATTTGGAAACAGTGTTATTCATGTTAAATGAAAAGATACATCCCGCTCTCACGGCAGTCCGTTAAATATGAATCCAGCCCCAAGGTGGTTGACTCAGCCGAGCATAACGACTAAAAAGACTCCGCAGAAGTATGAAATGGGATGGCCACTATTTGTCAAGGGGTTGACGTTATCTATTACATCTGACATACACTCTGTCCACGTAAATTAACGGTAACTTACTGGCAGCAAGGAAACCAGGAATTTACCGCTATTTTTTTACACTATGTTACCGTAAAATGGATTACTGTATGTTACCGTAAACTAAAACCAATTTTACTGTGAATTTACTGCAATTTACTGTCAGTCGGCGCTAGTAACTTACTGTTTTATTTACAGTGCCCTACCGTAATATACGGTATGTTGCCGTATATTGGATTAGTTTGTTGCCATAGGATTACTGTTTTTGTGTTATAAATACCAGAATGTTACCGTTTACTCATAACCATATACTTTTGCATTTAATTGCCCACAAATTAAAGACAATCAAACTCATTTCGGTCATAGTGGTTGAAGTTTATTAGATGCCTTTAAGACAAAAATGTTAGACGTTTGTAACAAAGAACAAAACAAAAAAAATATGCCGCATGTATACAATAATACAAAAAATTAATCATAAAATGATTACGAACAAGGTAAACTGCAACAATAAGCTATGGAACACTTTCAATTGACCGCAGCAAACGGCTGGCTTCCTTAATCCAGTGCCTCTGTAAAACAAACCAAAATGAAATATTTAGAAACACTGTCATTGGTAAAATATTAAAATTACAAAGATGAGGCAACAAGATGTAAGGAAAGAGAACGTTAATCATGCTAGCAAATAACACTTACCAACGTTACTTGGAGAGACGAGGCAATGAGAAACTCCTCCGATGTTGAACTGTGCACAGGTGTTCTGGATGAACTGAGTTCAGGAGCAGTCGGTCACGATTGACACTCAAATGACTTTTAGGCAATGAACACTTTGAATATGTAGCATATTAGAAACAAATTGACGACCTGGTTCATACAATTAATAAAAATGCATATAGTGTACACCAGAATACAGCCATGATTCTGAAACTGTGTAATCAATAAAGTAATGACAATATTGTAAAACCACTATAATTCTGCAACTGTAATAGAATAATACGAATGTACAGTTATGATTATATTTGATGTAATGTAATCAACTGGAATGCATGCATGTAATACTTGCACAATAACTGATATGCCGCCCTCGGTATATGCGCTCCGATACACCTTGGCAGTTAGACAAACTCTTTTCTCACATCACGACGCTGAAGACAATCGTCTGTTGTCCACAGGTTTATTGACATGAGAGAAAGTGTACAACTAAAACACACAAAAGACATAAATACAAATGAAGTGCATTGTCTTTGACCGCTACTTTATATATTTATGCTGATTTACTTCTAGTTATTTATTAAGTCATATGGACTTTATTGACTGCCATAGCAGTGCAGTTACCACTGTGGCCTCCTCTTGTTCTACGTGAAGAGACACTCCAAGGGCCGAACACATCAAGCCCAACATTCGTAAAGGGAGGTTCTGTTGAGAGACGGTCCGCTGGAAGACTGGCCATCTTTTGGATTGTAAGTGGGGCTCTAAGCCTTCGGCAGGGTATACACTGGTGGATGATGTTGCTCACCTTTCTTTTGCGACCAACTATCCAAAAGCCAGCTGTACAGGATCAGGAATCAGGAATCAGGAATCAGGAAACATTTATTAGCCAAAATATGTCAAACATACAAGGAATTTGTCTTGGCGGTTAGTGCGCGACAATAGACAGACAAGACAACAGTGCACAGGTAATAAAATAAAGTGGAATGAAATGCTAATGCAATGGGTTAGTAAGAATAAGGCTAAGGCTATGGGTTAGTATAAAACAGGGGAATAAAGTTAAACAAATTTTAAATATTAAAAAGTTGAAAAATATTAAGCATAAAGTGCACTAACAAACAAGTAACAGACAAGAGACAAAGTGACAAGTGACAAAGTGATGAATTGCAGTTAAGTGACATGTGCAGTATGAGGGGGAGTGACCGGTGGAGTGTTATAGTCAGGCAGTGGGGGACCGGGCTCTGTTGATGAGCCCGACTGCCGACGGGAAGAAACTGTTCGTGTGGCGGGAGGTCGTAGTCCTGATGGACCTCAGCCTCCTGCCAGATGGAAGGGGCACAAACAGTTTATGTCCGGGGTGGGAGGGGTCGGCCGCGATCTTTTTAGCTCGCTTCAGAGACCTGGAAGCGAACAAGTCCTCCAGGGACGGCAGATTGCAGCCGATCACCCTCTCTGCAGAGCGGATGACACGCTGCAGCCTGCCCTTGTCCTTGGCTGTGGCTGCAGCGTACAAGACGGTGATGGAGGAGCAGAGGATGGACTCGATGATGGCCGTGTAGAAGTGGACCATCATCGTCTTTGGCAGGTTGAGTTTCTTCAGCTGCCTCAGGAAGAACAACCTCTGCTGAGCCTTCTTGGTGATGGAGCTGATGTTCAGCTCCCACTTGAGGTCCTGGGTGATGATGGAGCCCAGGAAACGGAAGGAATCCACAATAGTGACGGGGGAGTCACACAGGGTGATGGGGGAGGGTGGGGCTCTGTTCCTCCTGAAATCCACAACCATCTCCACTGTCTTTAGAGCGTTGAGCTCCAGGTTGTTCTGGCTGCACCACGACACCAGATGGTCAGACTCCCACCTGTAGGCGGACTCGTCCCCACCAGAGATTAGTCCAATGAGGGTGGTGTCATCCGCAAACTTCAGGAGCTTGACGGACTGATGACTGGAGGTGCAGCTGTTGGTGTACAGGGAGAAGAGCAGAGGGGAAAGAACGCAGCCTTGGGGGGAACCGGTGCTGATGGACCGAGAGGCTGAGACATGTTTCCCCAGCTTCACGTGCTGCTTCCTGTCAGACAGGAAGTCTGTGATCTACTTGCAGGTGGAGTCGGGCACGTGCAGCTGGGAGAGTTTGTCCTGCAGCAGAGACGGGATGATAGTGTTAAAAGCAGAGCTGAAGTCCACAAACAGGATCCTGGCGTAGGTTCCTGGGGAGTCCAGATGCTGGAGGATGTAGTGGAGGGCCATGTTGACAGCATCGTCCACAGACCTGTTGGCTCGGTAGGCGAACTGCAGGGGGTCCAGGAGGGGGTCAGTGAGGGACTTCAGGTGGGACAGGACTAGCCGTTCAAAAGACTTCATGACTACAGAGGTCAGGGCGACGGGCCTGTAGTCATTGAGTCCTGTGATCCTGGGCTTCTTGGGGACAGGGATGATGGTGGAGGCCTTGAAGCAGGCTGGTACGTGGCATGTCTCCAGGGAGGTGTTGAAGATGTCAGTGAACACCGGAGACAGCTGGTCAGCACAATGCTTCAGGGAGTGAGGGGAAACGGAGTCCGGACCGGCTGCCTTACGGGGATTTAGTCTTCTAAAGAGCCGGTTAACGTCTCTCTCCAGAATAGAGAGGGTCGTTGCTGGTGGGGGAGGGGAAGGTGATAATGATGAAGAGGCGTGAGCACCTGATGGGCTGGGGGAGGGAGGGGAGATGGACTGCAGCAGGTTGGTGGAGCTGTGGGGGATGGGATCAGGACATTGTCTTTCAAATCTGCAGTAGAACTCATTGAGCTCGTCTGCCAGGCGGAGGTCATTCATGGAGTGGGGGTTTTTTGGCTTGTAGTTGGTGAGGTGTTTGAGGCCTCTCCAAACCGAAGCAGAGTCACTTGCTGAGAACTGTTGTTGGAGTTTCTCAGAGTACAGTCGTTTAGCGTCTCTCACCGCCTTGCTAAACTTGTATTTTGCCTCTGTGTACAAGTCTTTGTCCCCACTCCTAAATGCCTGATCCTTCTGCAGGCGTAGTGTTCTGAGTTCCGCTGTGAACCAGGGTTTGTCGTTGTTGTAACTCACCCTGGTGCATGATGGTACACAGCTGTCCTCACAGAAGCCGATGTAGGAAGCCTCTGTGAACTCATCCGGACTGTCAGTAGCAGTCCTGAAAACATCCCAGTCTGTGCAGTCAAAGCA